TTGGCGAAAGACTGGACTCCAATTTGGTTTACTTTGTTTTAGGGCTGAATCCATTTTTGCTACAAATGCTGACTTTTGTTGCGTGATCCGATCTGTATCCGTATAAATGTGCTTTAGGATTGGCAAGATAATGAAGTGGTAAGTCATCAGGAAAAGTTGGTGTGGAAGAGGTTACTGATTCCGAAGTTCTCGTTGACAACACACACAGCATTTAATCGGAAGGATAATCCGCGACCTGCACCGATAACGGCAATCACGCCATCGAGGTTTGTTCCTAGTCGGGCTGTACTACTCTGTACTGCTTGTGCGGGTACAATAAGAAACTTTTAAGGAATCACAGGACGCTGTTTGTTGGGGATGGTGTAGGTCGAGTGTGGAGCTGGCAGGTTGGTGATGATGTTGGCGCACGTGCCGATCATTGGGTGCAAGATCCAAGTCGGAATTCGTGCACTCAGTGTTTGCAGAAGTTTTCAATTGCTGAACGACGACACCACTGCAGAAATTGTGGGCATATCTTTTGTAACCGGTAATACTTTTCTTGCTTTTGTCATACTTGTCTGTCTCCGTCGCTACACTGGCGGTAAGGAGGGCGAGGGCGCTTTTTCGAGTAGGCGGTAATGATGGACTCGACCTGCATTACGGATCAGAGTGTCCGAGCTCTCTCTGTACAGTTACATTTTTGTGAGTGAAATGCTGTTGGAAAGTACGGCTCCAATGGTCTGAAGACGTAGCAGTGTTGGAATATAGGCTTAAACCAAGGTTTCTAGCTCCTGTTCATCACCTGCAAGCATCCCACATCGTATTTCAGGTTAACTCTTAAATTAAGCAGGTCATGAAAATCACATTTCTGATGCTCATTCCGCTAACACAGTCTGATTTTATGAATGGACTGTTTAGTGAGAATGTAGTGAAATGGATGCAGCAGTAACCGCGCTTTTGCTCAAAAACCTATCATAATAAATGACGGAAATTAAGCGGTGGCAGGCGCGCTTTAAAGGAGACGTAGCAATTCGTCGCTTGCTTTTTGCAAGCTAAAGTAGTAGTGTTCGAGGGAATACTCTAATGAATGACTCCTGAATTCCAGTAGCATCAGTGTGGAGAGATTTCAGGTCCTTGAATCGGAGATGAAAATCTGATTCAGAGTTTTAAGAGTGATGCGGAGTTTAAATGAAGGGTTTTAAATGACGTTGGAAGATGGTAATCGAGGTGCATAGGATGCGTTGTGAGCCCTAGGTTCGATCGTGCGTTTTCGCATTAGACTTGAAGCAGTCAGATTGTTAAATGCATGAATGATCGTTACTTGTATTTAGTTTGTGTACTTAGCGTAAATCAGCGTAAATTTTGCATAAAGGAAAATGGAGAATTTCTGTTGGACGGTCGTTCATTAAAATGATCAGGCTGTTGAGTGAACAATTTTCCCGCCAAAAATTTTCCCCACTTGCACTGGGGAGCTGAACTTGAAATCTTTAAGTTGTATTTGGACAGGGAACGTATCCGTAAGATTTCATCTTTGCAGCAATTTTCCCGCCAAGATTTTCCGTCCCATGCATGAGAGCCACACTTGCCTAGGTGAATTTGGGATCTTTAAGTTGTACTCCTTCAGTCTTAAAGGATGAGAAGTATCCCCTTCAAATTTCTGCGCCCCAACTCTTTTGGTTCCCGAGTCAACAATTTTCCCATCAAAACGTGCTCTTACGCGGGGTTCGGATGTACGTAAAGGTTGCTACCACAGTCCAATGACAGCACTTAGCCGGGGAACCCACTGGTAAAGTTTCAGCGTCGAAGCAGCTTGGTTGGCGAGTTGAAAGACCCGGACAGACGCGCATTAAAATCTTTAGCTCGCACGTGCATAGAGAATATCCCTGCAAAATTTCAGCTTTCTACCTCGCTTGGTTCGCGAAATCGTTCCCTGTCAACATATTTCTTTGGGGGTCCTGTATGTGGGGTCAAGACGCGTATGGGGGAAGATCATAAAACGGGAGGATGACACGCGGGGTAGGAACATATATCCAAAGCTCCAGCCTCCCAGCTTTCCTGGTTGCTGAGATGAAAGTGGGTGACAAAATGCACTCGCTTCCCATACACACACACACACACACACACACACACACAGACAGCCTCTCGACAATATGCGTTTTTGATGGCTGTAGCAGCGCCATCAAAAACGTATAAACAACAGAAGGGTGGTTTACTAAGGGTGCGCGCGATGCATGTATTTGTTCATTTTCAGGTGCAGTCGATTTGAGACGGATATCAAGCATATGAAAATCTCGAAGCCAGTACGTGTATGTCAGAGCTGTTTCTTACGTCTAAAAGCAGAGGGGACATGCTGAAAATTGATACTCTTTCTCACTCCTTCCACTCTATTATTTATTTACTGTAATCATTACTACTACTATTGTAGTTATTATTGTCATTATTATTATTACTATTATTATCATTATTATTACGTTTGTTTTTGTTATTGTTAGTGACGTTAAAGCGAGTGATTGCGCATTACACAGTTACTATTTGATCTCAGTCAAATGTGATTTAGTTTACTTATTTTTGCAATTCCAAATTCTCTCTCTGTCTCCGTTTCGTTCTCTTTGCTTAATAAAACATGCTTTCTTGAGGGCTGTTCGGTTGATGTTTTCATGCTGTCTCGTGTGCAGATTTTATTTCAATTTTTGGCGAGGAAGTCTCAGGACTACTGTGGAGAATTTAAGTTCTCGCCCTGCACAAAGAACTTCAGAACTGGACAAATGAAGATCTGTCGCAAGGAGAGAGCCACTGTTGTAAGCCCCCCTTTTGAGTCCACCTCCGGACCTGGAGTATGCTATCTACCATGGGCCAGTCATACCCTTGGCGAACGTGGAAGTTGAAGACAACGCTCATTGGGAACCAGTACTGTCTACAGCATCGTTTTATGTGGGCGAGCGAAACGCGCTGGAGTGCCAGTACCTCCCGCCTTCCGAGGAACACTCCAAGAGGCAGTGTCGGCCATCGATTGGCTACCGCCGCGGCCGCCGCCGCCGCAGCTGCCGTTGTTACAGCTGTTAATGCATCTTTCACTGCTCACTGAGCCCTCGGGAGAGTTTGGCGTGGCGCAGCACTGCCGCAGACTGTACGGGTACCACGGCGCGGGTTGGTCGCGGGAAGTTCCCGGGACGCCTCTGTTCTTCCAGCTGTGCATCAGCTACGTTGGAAAGGCGGCTTGTGAGTGTGCGAGGCGTGGCCACTACGTGTCGACTCCGAGTCGGGAGGACTGGACGTGAAGGGAGCGGGACAGTTTAGTGCCCGAGGGATTATTGATTTTTGTCAACTCGCCCCCGAGCCCGGCCCGGTGAGCGTTCTCGTTTCGAAGTAGAATCCCGGTGTGCTGGTCGGTTTGTCGGGATGCAGCCGCGAGGTACAGTCCTCTTTGGTTAGTTTATTCTTCTTACCTTGCGCGACTAGCTGT